TAAACACAACACGGATGAGGTTAACATACATAGTACTTGGCGATAAGAGGGAAGAAAGTGTTGAAGGCGGGAGTAAAATCAGCTCCCAGAGCCCCGGCCAAAGAAGAGACTAGATCGCCAGCAGACGAGATTAGGACAGAGTCATACTCGGCCTGGTCCTCGGGAGCCTCTTCGTCCTCATCTTGATCAGGGTCTTGTTGACAGAACGCCTTCTGTTCCAGGATCTGAACAGCGATGTTGCAGATCGTGTCAAGGTCTAGTCGATCACGTCAGCATCGAAGGCATATGAAGAGGAAGTAACTTACGGCCATCAACGAAGGCGGGGCCAACTTTGCCGATGGTCTCGGCAAGACCAACACACAGAGACGAAGCGACCGACCTAAGGCAGACAGGAAGTCAGTAAAATGAATATGAACCATACATCAATAACACGACAGAAATTCAGGAAAACTTGAATAGTCTCATTGCCAACAGGCTCGAAGTGAGCTGAGTTGTATATCATCTTGAAAGCATGCGAGACAGAGAAAAGGATCAGGTAGCGGAACTCACTTGTTATCTTCTGTTTCATACATCTCCAGAAGAGGGATCAAGGTATGGCCGACAAGTTCCTTCACACTAGGGCTCAAAGGGACGGTCTGGGGAGGTGTCAGCTTGCGAGGCAATGAAATATCATACAACATACCACGGCTGTGCCAGGCGTCCAGTCCTGTGGCTCACTCAAATCGTAGAAAGTCCTGACGACCTCCAGAAGTGAGTCGGTCGCACTCTTCCTGATACCCTCATAGTAATGGGGTAGGAGCGCAACGAGCTCGAGGGCGCATTGCTCAACATAAGGGAAGAAGTGCGCCTTGCAAGCAGCGAACAGGGTTCCGATGGTGTCTGCTGCGATCTCCTTCTCTACAGCGATCGCACTATTCACGTCCATCATCTTGTCAAGGTCGATATCTTCGAGCTCGAGTGAAGAGTTCCCAATATCAGACTCATCAGCGATGGCAATGGCATTTGAAGGGGACGATCCAGAAGCGAACGCTGAGGTAGCATCAGCGACGGAGACTGAAGAGGTTGTTATCAGAAAGACCCTCGCGCGCAAATGTGAGAAAGCTTACTCGACATTGATTCTTCTCCCTGCTCAGCTTGCTTGCAGCTGGCCAACAAGGCAGGGACGACATTAGGGAGGTACGGTGCAAACTCCTCTCCGAAGACGCGAGCCATCACACCGAAGAAAAGGAAGCTGCACTCCCTGAGCCTGGCGCTGCCCATTTCAATGCCCTGGAACGCCTGCTTCATCATGTCGGGGAAGAAGGCCTAAAGACATCTTTTCCGACAGCTTCAGCGAATGTGCCAATGGCATCCATGGTGATTCCACGAAGCTCAATCTCTTCACCCTCTCCAGTCAAGACGAGGAAATGCTGGAGATGGGCCATGGTGGGTTGGAAGTAAGGGAGGAAGCGTGATTTCGAGGCATGAGCAGCGCTACCGATGGCTCCAGTAACGACAGCTTTGACGGGGAGAGGAGCGCTCTCAAGCAGACCACCCAACCGCTCCATTATGAGGGGCAGATATTGGTCAATGACGTCGTGAAGAATCTCAAGAAGGGCGTCCAGGGCAGTGCAGGCCGATCGCTGCGTCTCAGAATCGTTCATGAGGTTCATGATACCCTTGAAGTACGAACTTAGCTCTAATATCGTGGAGGCCAACACCAGAGCAACTTACGGGGATGAGAACAGCATGCTTGGCAGCACAATCATCTTCGAGCCATTCACAGAGGCAGCTGACAGCCACGCATGTGGCCTTCCTGACGGTGGCATCGCTATCCTGGAGACCAGCTTCGATGATGGGCCAAACCTGGGGCATCAAGGGGGTCATGTACTCGCTGCAGCCTTCAACGCAGACACCAAGCGCGAGCATTGCACCACGGCGGTTTTTGGGATCAGGGGAAGAGAAGTATTGGACGATCAAGGTACGGAGAGCAGGGAAGACTTGAGTAGGAGGCAGGTTGGTTGCAAGGCCATCGATAATACGCAAGGCGGACTGGACAAGGGTAAATATGTATAGTCACTGGGAATATAGATGATACACTTACGCGGGAAGGAGCATCGTCATCGAGATCCTCTGGTTCATCCTCGGTCGCTATGGGCATGAGACCTTCTAGGATGGCGGGAGCAAGGTTGTGGGATTGAATTTTGGATTTTTTGCTGTAGTGACGTCAATATAGGTCATGCAGATGTGTTCGTGGACGTACTATTGGACAGTCCAGTTCAGAGCATTCAACGCGAGAACGCGAAGCTCGGCATCGAACGAACGATTGCCTCCACAAGTAAGGAGGAATTGAGCGAGCTCAGGGATGTGCTTGCCAAGAATCGGCACTTCCTGTGATGAAAGGTGAGGTGAAGCCCGAGGCTCAAACAACGAATTCGTACCAAGATAAGAAGGGTCTCCAGTACATCGAATAATTGCCTTGCACCAGTCTCATTGCCAGTTTCAACACTCTGTCCGATAACCTGGATCATGGCCGGAAGAAGAGCTTGGAATGCTTTCTAAACTCATGGTCAATACATCGACGAGCCACTATAAGTTGATAAACTTACGAGGTCTATTTTGTCATCGGAGTCAATGTATTGGGCAATTACGCCGAGAGCTCTAATTTTGGTGGGTTCAGGAAGTAAACGAAATGAAAAAAAGAGCTAATGCGTACCTGACTGTCGTAATTCGTACTTCGATGCTTTCAGGGTCAACCAACAACTGCTCAAAAAGCTTGAAGAAGCTCTGGAGATGCTCTTGGAACCCTTCGACGATATTCTCAAGAACGGTGAACAGAATATAGATGCCGACTTCGCGATGCACAACCTGGGGAGATGTGCAGGTTTGATGCAGGAATGGCAGGAGCGAACCCCAAGTTCCGAGAGGAATCTCAATAGTGGCGATGGCCGCGACAACGCGGGCTGCAGAGTGACGAACAAGGTTGCTGGACAAAAGTAAGCGATAAGGAGCCGATCGCCATAGGAGATGAATGCGATGCAAAGTGGACTCACTTTGGCTCAGCTAGAATAAGCTCCGGTAGTTTTGATTTGATTTGTTCACGCTCATTTTGAGGAAGCAGTGTCCACAAATTACCACTATTTTGCGCGACGCGTTTCCGCAGCTCAACGGCAGCGAGTTGTCGAACCTTGAGATCTCGTTTAGATAGGTCAAGAATTTAGGACGATCTCAAAATGCAACGCACAGCTTGTTCTGGGGAGCTCGCGATGATACTTGCAAGAGCAGGTATACAGGCAGGGTTTTTGTAGTAGTCCTGATTCAACTGTGCGGTCGCCTAGTAATGGGGTAAGAGTATGAGATAACTGTGAGCATTTTCCATGGTCCGATCTAGCTTACGGCTTTAACATAGGCGGTATCGTTGGAGGTTGTCTGAACAAGGAGATTGTGCAGGACTTGGACAAAATTGGGCTAGATGAAGAAAGATCGTGGAGTTTAGCAGGACAATTCACGATTAAAGGCGATCCAGAGCTTACATCCATCGTGACGGGAGACGAAAGGGGAAAAAAGAAAGATGAGGCAGTAGAGGGAGTAAAAGCTGTGAAGTGAAGTTATCAGCAAGCCACAAAATTTTTGTCGGAGTTGGCCGATCATCTTACCGACCAACGCGTGCCCAATCTGGCTTGTCTTGAGCTTGAACAACCACCTGGTCACCCCTTGAGATCGGCAAATCCCCCCATTACTCTTTCATCCTCGTCGTGTCAGGGCTCTATATACATCCGTATCAAAATCAAGCATATCTCTGATGCCGAACCCACACGGCACTAGGTCGGTTTCCACTGACGATCTCTCCACGACAAAGACCTCTACACTGTCATAAGTGGCCCAAAACCCCGCTATACATGTGTTGGCCAGGGCGCCCTTTGAGTTGCGATATCCATTGTTTCCCGATTCGGCCTTGGACGAGTGGCACGTTGATTTTTCTCTATATAAATTCGACGAAGGATGAGTCTAGGCTCACCCAGCCCTGAAACACCCACCCCGGCGGTGTTCTTGATCTATCTATCAACCCAATGTTGTGCCTCTGCACCTCTTTTCTCAACAACTCCTTGCCTGTTACGCGCAGGGTTAATCCGATCACCGCCTCCAAGGCGCCGGCGCCGCCATACTATAGTGACTAGGACGCCAGAGGTAAGTCTCATCTGCCACTTTGCCAGGACGCAAAACCCAAATATTAACTTCCGGGACAGTCGCCCATGCGTTCAAGATTCCACCCCGGAGACCCGGCGACTGCGCAAGTCGCCTAAGAAGCGCAAATCGTTGACACGACACGTCCTCCTCCTATGGAAGCGGCTTACCAGACCTGCGCGACCCCGCCGCTCGCGCCGATTCTCCTTCTTGCCTGAGGGCTTCATAAGGGTCGAGACTCCTCAGACCCAGACTGAGAAGAGTTCTTCGCCTGTAATGGAACTCAGCGATGTAGGCCAAGAAGGGTATGCTTGAAGTCCAGCGTTAGCACTTACACACTCTTTTGAAGCAAGCACTCGCATGTTGTCACCAAGTCCACTTTGGCTCGGAATTCTATCCTTATTGCTATATTATACCTGGACCGGCGGTCTTTGGCCATTCTGAGAGGTATTCGCCACCGACTGAGCGAAGTTGTCTAAACATAATCACTGTGCCCACCAAACCCCGTGAACAGAAAAGGGCCCGATCTCTCAGTCAATTTATGTACCCTGTTCCTGCCGCAGGGACTTTTACAGGTATAATCTTTGGATTTGGGCTAGATGGAGTACGGCCCGAGAGTGTCCTTCAGCCGCCAGTGACCTTGCAGACGCATGCGTCGCAATGCGTATATGATGATGTACATGTGCAGCCCGTAATGCTGGTGAGAGAACGGTACATCGGTGATGGCATTGGCTGGACGAACCTCGTCGTCAATGGGTGCAGTCAAGGTTCGGTTATGATGAATTCGAAATCTACCCACTTTGAGGTAAATTGTTCAATCCTCCTTGGGTTGTCACGGTGAGATGGCCGAGCGGTCTAAGGCGCCAGACTAAGGATCAAAGCAGTTGCTGCTTATATCAGCGTGGATCTTCGACCACCGATATCTGGTCCTCCGGGGCGTGGGTTCGAATCCCACTCTCATCATGTTTTTGCGCCCCTCCCCTTCTACAAGAATTCCCGGGACTTGGAGAGAATTTCAACCTTCAAGGACTCGGAGTCTCTGGAGTCTCCAGTCCCGCCGCTTGCGGTCGTCCCAAGTGACAAGTCCTCAATGCTCATTAATCATTGCTCATCACGTGGAAAATAGTAAAGGCATCCAATCACAATATATGTAAACAAGTTTCGACTCCAGATGTTGGCCTTGCGACGAGGACCAAGACTAGCTGCTCATCTGCACAGCCGTATTCCCAGCTTGAGCAGGTCAATTTCAACCCACAGATACCGCCCGTCCTTTAAAACAGGTTTATACGCCACCGCTTTCGTTCTGTCAACTGGGCTCTTTGCCGTATACTATTTTGATGCACGCTCGGCGCTACATCGGTACATCCTGACCCCAGTCCTTCGGCATACGTTGGATGCGGAGACAGGCCACAAGTTTGCAGTTAAAGTGCTCAAGAGTGGACTTGGACCGAGAGACCCGTGTTCCGACGACGGACGCCTGAAATCGGAGGTACGGGTAGTGGCGTTTGGTCAGTGCTGGAAGCTTATGTCGTGCCTAGCTTTGGGGGCAGGAGATTTCGAATCCTGTCGGGCTCGCAGCAGGGTTTGACAAGGATGCAGAAGCAATTGACGGTACGTAGTAGTTCTGCGAGTGTGTCCTTTTGAACCATTATTTCGTAGGACTGTTCAATCTCGGCTTCAGTTGGGTTGAAATAGGAAGCGTCACCCCGAAACCACAGGCAAGTGCGCATTCTAGGACGCTTTTGTGTGGAACTAACTTGCGCTCTTTAGCCAGGAATCCTCGCCCTCGTGTATTCCATCTTCCGGAAGATTTGGGCCTGATCAACCGATACGGATTCCCGTCGCAGGGACACACCTCAGTTCTCTCTAGACTTCGCGCCCGCATCCCAGTTTTCCAACAAGAACATGATACCGCCGCACTGCGCCAGGGCTCAGTTCTCGCTGTCAATCTTGGCAAAAACAAAGAGTCTCCAGCAGACTCTATCGACGATTTTCTTGCTGGTGTCCGCACCTTTGGCCCTTACTCTGATGTCCTGGTTATTAACGTCTCCAGCCCGAATACGCCTGGTTTAAGGTAAGGACAAGGGCCAGGTCTTTTGTGCACTATTAATCGGGGGGGTGCTTTAGAGGACTTCAGAATCGGGACCTCTTAGAAAAACTGCTGGATGGCGTAACAAAAGCGAGGGATCAGCTCTCAGTTTCCGAGCTAACTTCGCGAAGGCCAAAACTGGTTCTCAAGCTCTCTCCTGACTTGGACGAGTCACAAATTGCGGATATAGCAGAAGTCATCAAGAATAGCAATATCGACGGAGTAATCGTGAGCAATACGACGATTCAGAGGCCAAAACATCTCACAGCGGGTAAGCGGTTCGGTTTCCATGCTAATTATGTTCTTATGGTATTCCTTCAGTTAATAAAAACGAAACTGGCGGCCTATCCGGTGCACCTGTCAAGGAATACTCCTTGAAGGCACTGCGCGCCCTGCGTTCGCATCTTCCTCCCTCTATGACACTGATTGGATGTGGTGGTATCTTCACCGGCGCGGATGCGCTTGAATATGCTAAAGCCGGAGCTTCTTTGGTACAAGTTTACACCGGTTTCGGTTACGACTGGTGTTGGCGCATGCCGACGAATCAAGGACGAACTCGGTGCACGAGCTGGAGAGGGAAGGAACCACTTGGAATCAGGTCGTGAAGAAGGCTGTTGATGAGCTAAGTTTCAAGGAGGATCTGAAAAGCGAGCCAACTCACAGTGATGGTGGTGGTGGTGGTGGCGAAGGGAACCATCAGTCAACTGATATCGGAAGCCCATCTGCTGCAGGGACTGTTGGATAAACTTGACTTGAAGATAGAAGGAGGGCCTTCTTCGGCATAGATACCTATGTCATTTGCACTTTGGATGGCTGGAGGCTAGAGTAATAGATGTATATACCCAACTTTGATAAGATAAGATAACGTCGTTGGATTGATGGTGACATTGGATGCCATTGATCGTCTTTCCCGAAAGAAGTTGGCACTGGCATGTAGTGTACCTTGTACATTCTGCCGTACCTTCTGTGCCTCAACTCACCACGGCTGATTCGGAGTGTTTCTATACGTCGTGCGCTTCCATCCAATGTTTTCACAACGCCAAGGCCATGGCCCCTCGCGAAGTTCGGCTGCCGTTTCTCGTACCAAATACACGCGTATCACAGCCGGCAAGCCTTCGAAGCTCACAGGGTCGTCAGCAGCGGAGGAAACTGCAAAGATCTCTTCCGATGACGTCGAGGGTTCTGTTGAACACCAGGAGTCTGATGCTGGGGATACCGCTTTGTACAGGAGGCACTCTGACCTATGGTTTGACGATGGCAGCGTGATATGTCGAGCAGAGAACACGTTGTTCAAAGTTCATATGTCACTATTATCACGCCACTCGGTGTTCTTCAAGGACATGTTCCTGATGCCTCAGCCAAAATCGCCATGTGATGATACCTCTCCGAAGCCATCGACGATCGACGTCGAAAGCAACGGGATCCCGGTTGTTGATCTGTATGACACAGCTGACGACGTTGGTCACCTTTTGGCGGCACTCTATGACTGGCCGTACGTAGTACATCGCATATTTTTTGACCATACGCATTAATAAATCGTCGTGAATGAAGTACTTTCGGTAACAATGATCAAGAAGACTTCCGTATGGTCTCCGGAATTCTTCGATTGTCGACGAAGTACATCATCGACTTCTTAAGAGCGAGGGCATTGGAACATCTCAGCATGGCATGGCCGTCAGACCTGAAGGCATGGGATCCTGAGAGAGGATCTTGCACGCTCGCATGAAGCAGACGTTGCCGCAAGCTCTACCCACCTCTACCCCCATCCCATTGTAAGACAAGCGTTCTCTGCTCTGCCAAATAGCTCGACATTGAATGCTTGTAGGCTATCATCAAACTCGCTCGCGAAGTTGACGCTCCTTCACTCTTGCCTGCCGCCTTTTATGACCTATCGCGGTCCCCGTTTACCCATATATTTGAGCCAACAGAGGAAGATCAGATGTATCGACCGCTACCTAATTTGTCCAACCTTCCAGCTGCAGATATACAGAGGCTCTGCCTGGGCAAGGAAGCGGGCCAGCACGCGATCACATCCCTTATTACAGCCATGGGCAGCAGCCAGCATGTCCGACCGGCTCAGCTCTCAGCACACACCCGGAAACCGACTGCCATTGGTGTCTGTATTTCCGCTGCCGCTTGTCGGAAGGATTTCTCGGAGCTAGTGGATCTAGCTACCCAGCACTACCTCTTCGATCGCGAGCGTGGCTGCTGTGATCCTCTTTACGTCGCGGAGGAGTTAGGTCAGCTGAAAAGTGCCGAGTTTTCAGAGTGCAAGGCATGTGCAAAGTCTTTAGAGGCCTGGGCGACGAGGGAAAGGGAAAAGATGTGGAGGTCAATACCCATATGGTTCAGATTAGAGCATCCTGGGGATACATCCCCGAGGCTTTATTGAACTTGTACTGTATTTTAGACGGGCCGTCCGTGGCAGCGCCTGGTTTACATTTTTCGCCTGTATAATTCTTTGTTCGCGACACGACCCACTGCATATGTAGTTCCCGGATTATCCTGCACGTCTGCTGTTCAATCATGATTGATTATGTGTAGCCTCATATACGAAGGTTCCATGAGTAGTACATCTAAGCTCATATGAGTCCGGCGGGAGACATTAATACCTGTGTTGAGGATCGCCGAAGGTACTGTACTGGTTAGCCCAGTGATTGTCTTTCTCGAATAAACCGGTGCTTGGCACCGCACGCGGAAAGTCGTTACATATCAGTCTGCCTCTGTCACAGAAGCCCGCCACACCTCGATCTAGTTCCAGAGTCGACTCGGAGTACTAGTCGACACAAGAATCGCTGCCACACAGCGCGGTGCAGTGATTGTTCTCGAAAATACTGGACCATCATGAAAACTAGAGATCAACCCGATCGGGTTCGCGAAGTCAACAAACTATCGACTCCTGTGTTGACAATGCAGCAGGCAGCTCGACCCAAACGGTACCATGGAGGAGCAAAGAAAATGTTTCAATCAGCCAGGTAGCCTTTTTGAGCCTATCAGTCTGTACGTCACGAGGAGAAAGGATCCATATGGCGCATGCCAAAAGGCTGAGAAGCGGACGTCCAGTGTCCACAATGACCGGTTGTGATTGTTTCCTGCCTTGGCCTATATTCCATTCGCGATGGGAAAGGTGGCACCCCTTTGTGGTCAAAAATTTCCACTTGTCTCCTGGGTAACCCGTTTGACCAACATGGTCTCGAACCGTGCCAACAGAAGATCATTGGTGTGGAGCCAGGACTACATAAACTTCGGTGGTTGATTTTCTTCGGGTCCATCTCGTCTACTCCCCTTCACTCTTCTCCCTTGCAGCCAGGTGCTCGCGTTCTTTCTTTAAACACGCTCACTTCCCCGGCTGTCAAGTCTCTTTTATTCTCTTCATTCGAATTATAATGGTCCAGCTATCATTGGTCGTTCTCAGCTTGATCGCCTCCAGCGTTCATGGAGCACCGTTGAACAAGCGCATCGCTCAGAGCATCAGTGCCGCGACCGCAAAGTGGGAGCAAGCTTGTGTATGTCGTCTTATCTCTTGCCTCATTTCTTTTTGACCTCAGCATTTCCTAGATTGCCGCTGGTGGAGCTCAACAATGTAACCCGGTCTCGGTGACTGCCTTCGGCACACTTCTCGCTGCACCCGGTCCCTGCGAACAGCAGAATGCGGCAGATCAAATGATTGACCTAGCCAAGCAGCTGGGAAACGATGCTCAGATGATCCGCCTAGCTCAGGTGTTCGCGCAGCAACCTCGCAACACGGTGAGCATATCTGACGTTGTCTAAGTTCTTTATTAATGGCATCCACAGCCCACCTCTCAGAGCGTACCATACTGCCAGCAAGCCCCCAAGAACGCGGAACTCAACGGCTTATTCCAGTGCCAGTTCG